CGGAAACATAGTAGTAGTAGTAGTAGTAGTAGTAGTAGTAGTAGTAGTAGTAGTAGTAGTAGTAGTAGTAGTAGTAGTAGTAGTAGTAGTAGTAGTAGTAGTAGTAGTGTAAAATAATGTATGACACTCTCAACTTTAGGTTTATCTCAAAATTAGTAAGGAATTATGAATTCTTCAAAGCTTTTTTAAACGTATAATCTCAAATTGAAAACAAAGAAGGTGTCAGAACAATATAAACTTGGAAACTTAAAATGAACATGTTGATATTGAAATTTAATGTATATGGATTAAACTATATTTATGTGTAAAAATTGGTTATCACTAAATATGCTTAACAAGAGTTCATTTTTAACTTAATAATCATGAAAATTAAGTTTTTTATTCATCATTCTGAAATTAATGAATAACATTTCTTTTTTTCTCTGCATCAATCATCATGATATGTATGGTTTTCTTTGCAATATGATTTTCATTACTAAAGGTACATGAAATAACTAGCAAATTGTACTTGCCTATCATCCAGATCCATTCTAGTTGCATTGGCTAAAACACTTATTCTGTTAGGTAGATCAAGACTGTACGATATCTAACAAAAAACGCAATCAAGACAAACAGTGTAGAAGAAGCTTCTGCATCAGTAGGCCTCAACATACACAAGGGAAGAACAAAGATCCTCAAATACAACACAGAGAACACCAATCCAATCACAGTTGATGAAAAAACTCTGGAACAGGTAGAAACTTTCACGTACCTGATCAGCATCATCGATGGACAAGGAGGATAGGATGCAGACTTAAATGCAAAGAGTGTCAATGTAAGGGTGGTATTCCTGTAGTTTAAGAACATATGGAACTCAAAACAACTGTCAACCAACAACAAGGTCAGTATCTTCAATACGAACATAGGACAGTTCTACTGTATACAACTGGAACTTCGAGAACTGCTACAACCATCATCAAAGTAGTATAAGTATTTGTAAACAAGTGTCTACACAAGATACTTAATGTCTGTTGGCAGGATACCATTATCAAAGTGAACAAACAAGCTTTTAGCTGAAGAGGAAATCAGGGAAAGATGTTGGAGGTTGATAAGACACAATGACAAAATCATCAAAATGGATCACGAAGCAAGCACTAACTTGGAATCCTGAAGGGAAACGGAAAAGAGGAAGGCCAAAGAATACATGGCGTCAGGAATTGAAAGCAAATATCAAAAGGATAGATAGCAACTACAAAAAAATAGAAAGGGTTATCTAGGACAGAGTTGGATGGAGAGTGCTGGTGAGTGGCCTATGCTCCTCCACAAGGGGTAACAGGTGTAAGTAAATAAGTGTTATTATATATATTCTTATTGTAGAATTATTCAGTAACTAGATTATATATTATAAGCATTTATTTGACAGCTTGGCTACTATCATACTATTTATTATTCTTAAGTTATTCCCAGTCTATTAGTTACACACTCTCGCACTCACAGCCACACTTGGCCTGATCATGTACAATTGTTATTTTCTACTTTATGGTTTGCAGCGGTTTGATCTGCTGGTTTATAAACTGTGTATGTCTGAAATACGTAATCCATACAGTGGAAGCTGAGATTGTGTTCTGAACTCTGCGGGCAAAGTCGTATAAGTCGGTGTTCTGACTGGCAGTCTTGTTACGTGATAATTGACAGGAGTAAAAGACACAACATAAACATATAGAGACTGACCAGTTGCAGTCCTAAACACATCGATGGGAAGATCCAAACAAACAATACTAAGTGAATTCAAACTTCACCCCATCGCACAAGCAAGTGGCTATCAGGACTCAGTGGCCGAGTGGATAACGCGATGGCGTTTGAAGCGAGGGTACTGGGTTCGAGTCCCAGAGTGAACATCAACTCTGAGATGCAGGTACATCCAGCTGACGAGTCCCAAATAGGACGAAACGCGCGTCCTGGATTCCACTGCTAGCCACTATCCATCTCTGCCAACCATGCTTGTGAATTAAGGTATATCGAGGCAATACGCACAGTATGCACATATGCCAATTAGAGACTGACCAGTTGCAGTTCTAACAAATCGATGGGAAGATTCAAACAAACAATACTAAATTGAATATTGCAACAACCGTTTAGAAGGGAAAAATGAAAATGTAGCAAATTTAAGTTATTTAGAAGTCATGAAAGTAAGGTTTGTCTCATGGTACTGTTTTCCCATATACTGAAGGCATGATAAAAAATCACTTTTTAAACACACTATAGCCTTCATGATTGATGGATTTTAGAGATTTTACAAAGCATTCAGTGAATGTAACAAAAACTTTCCAAAAATATATATTGAATTATCAGTCTCAAATATTTGTCTTCAAGGCTCTGAAGTCAAACTTCTACGTTCACAGAACTTTCACTACCAAGCCAGTTTGATTTTCAGTTTCTCAGAAAGAAATATCCCTATGTATTGAAAAAGTCAACAAGTATAAAAAAATCTGCACATTGCTAGAGGTAATAACGTATTACCTTGCAAATAATCTTTCTTAATTCTTACTCATTCATATCACAAAAAATTTGCAGATTTTCATATGACCATTACGTTTTACAAGGGGCATACATAGAAGAAAACATTTGCTTTTTCACTGATATTTTTAAACCAATGAAAATTAAACTGACATTTTCAATGTCAGCGATATTGAAGTTATCAATTATTTTTGAACTACTTATCAGACTTAAAAGTTATAACCTAGTAGTTAAAAGAAATATGTATTCGAATATGGAATATCTAGACTGACTGCAAATCAACATCTGTATACAGTTTTGTATTGATTAAAGAATAACGAGGACAAATTATATCTGCTCAAATGGTAAAGAGTATATACAGAATGTCTATAAATGTTATATTGCCACCCTCTGACTTACCCTTCTCTACCATTTAACCATATTTGGAAAACTAAAAATCGTTAAGCAAGTAGAAAGCTAAATATCAAGCTAATGTTTACTTCACATGTAATTAATCTTGCAGTACATGCATAAACAACAGTTTCTCCACGTTTCGTATATAGTTAATCAGTGTAAAATGTCAAATTTAGATAAATTCTTAATAAGATATATCGGAAAACATTCATTAGGATTTTTTAACTTATTTTCTCACTTATTTCTCTCTTCCATCTTGTCTTTTTTATGTCTTCGAAAGAATTAGTTACCATCAATATATTTATTAGCAGTATAACTCAACTGGGAAAAAATATTTTAGACGGTTACAATCATCTTGATAATGTTTATACTAAGTATTTATTGCTTTACAAAATTCATTACATTTCTACACAGTAATCTATTCAGCAATTTGATTTTTTAATTGTGATCGTAAATTGACCTAATTTAAACAACCACTGAAAACTTTTAAGCACTAGACGGCGACTTCGTACTAGTATGGGACTCCTTGGCAGTGAAAATATGAGACTCCATAACTAATAATTAAACCTGGGACCTCCAATCTCGCATATGAATGCTTAACCCATAGACTACTGAGACCGGATCAAATGGTCCTCGACTCCTGGTTGTGGAGTCATGAGTATGCACTGCTAATGTGCCCTATAATCGGACAAAACGACCGTCCAGTGCTTTCAGACTTTCAATGGTTGTCAAACTCGAATCAGTTTATGATCTGAATAAAATTCAACAATCCCCACAATCCCATATTAAAAACTATTTTCTTTCTATTAAATTTAGTACTACAACAGTAATTGTTCTATCTGTCAACATTGTTAATAGTTTCTTAACGGTAATTGATATTTAAAACCTAGATTCAGGATATCCTACGAGCTACCACCAATCACATCAAAACATAGTACACGTGACTTCGAGTTAATTACATTAACGGTCATAGTGAAATTCGATCGACAGAATTAGATCAGAAATAAAAAGAGGGGTAGACAAACATGATAGTGATAATTAATGAGCAATTAATGAATGTAAAACATAATTGAATTTTTTCTCATTGGTCATTATTACTCGCTGATACATTTACGTGCAACTAATCACATTTATATTGATTTTCTACCTGAGTAACAGTGAACATCAAATCGGTTTTAATTAAATTGCTAACAGAGTTCATCGAACAAATATTAAAATTCAATATTAGTATTGACAATATTTTCTCTAAATAGTTACTAGAAAAAAGAAAACTATTCCATACTAGTTTGTAATTAAGTTAGTACAAATTATAATCATGATTAAATGTGTATACAAATTGTTTCATCTTATATGTCAGCCATGTCACTATCTTTAAATGAAAATATGATCTGAAGTTATTTTTGAATAACTAAATAAGACAAGTCAGTTGTAAGCATCGTAGAGCCTGATATGTATTTCTATCCGGAAATATCTAAAACTAGGTAAAAGAAAAAAAACAACTTTTCAATGATTTCTTTAAATGTTACTTAACACATTCATCATAAAAATCAATTGCAAATGGAAACTTCCATCAATCACATAACTAATATTCATTCACCGTTGGATGCCAGCTCAGTGGTCCATCGGTTAAGGGCTTCGGCTCGAGACTGGTAGGTCCTGGATTCGAATCTCGCGTGAGCGGGTTCGTGGATGCGTACTGCTGAGGAGTCCCACAATAGGACGAAACGGCCTTACAGCAGTGTTTCCAGGTTTTCGATGGTGGTCTAGCTTCAATTGACTCATGATTTCAACTTTGAAAAATACTGAAGTCTCCACAAATCCCCTTCTGATTATAATATTCAATTGATCAATATTCAGTGATCAAATACGAAAATTTATCAGTTAAGTGCTCCGGTGAGAGACTGACAGGTCCTGGGTTCGAATATCGCTGGGCGAGGTCGTGGATGCGCACTGCTGAGGAGTCCCACAATACGACGAAACGGTTGTTCAGTGCTTCCAGGTTTTCCTTGGTGGTCTAGCTTCAATTGACTAACGCTTTCAACTATGGAAATACTAAATCTCCACAAAAACCCCTTCTTATTATAATTTTTTGGGGGAAAAAGACAATAATATTTATTTCTTTGTTTAAATATTTAATGTTTAGATAGAAAAAAATAATCTCTTAAATCAAATAACATTTTGTACAGTAGTTTTAGTTCAAAGAACAAATGGAAATAGGTTTGTCTTCGTCAATATAATATTTTTCCGTATAAACAAATCAATAATCTATTTTAATTCATGTCTTATGTTTATACATCATTATAATATTCAATTGTTTACTTCTGAGAACAGAATATTATTATTGATTATGTGCAGTATACATTTTCGTTAGTAAACATTTTAAAAAAAAGAAAAAGAAAGAAATAGTTGACATCAATTAAAAATATCTAGTCTAAATATGGTCTCCACATTGGTTTGACACTGGTTCTTATAGATGTCCCTGTATTTTCAGATGTAGTTGGAATAGATATAGAAGAAGTAATTGTATCGTTAATTGTTGTAATTAATTTTTGATTTTGATAATATTGGTTAATATGTGTAGAATTATTTGAAGTTAATTGATTTGTGATAACACTAAGTGGTTTTCTTGTTGGTGCACTAAATGCCGATAAATGATCCTCTAACATTAATTGCGATGATGATGACCACGATGGTAAGTTTTTCGTTTTTAAGTTAGACAACGGTGAAGATGATTCAGTGGAACGAACGGTAAGATCACTAATAGTGTTCAGTCTATGTTGGTCCTTAAAAATAGGCGTCTTCCTACTATGAAGTGTTAATTCGATCGACTGGTTATTACTACTAACGAAACAACTATTAAAATTATTCACTGTTGAATTGAATTTATTTATATATTGTAAAGGTGTTGATTGACATTGTGTTATTGTTTCACTATTCTGTGAATTAATCATACTGTTCAAATGCAAATTATTCACTGGTAAAGAAGTAGACGTTTTAATCATTGATGATGTGATACAATCATTAGTAGGATAATTTTTAAATAATAAAGGATTTTTAATGATCAACTTCGGTATTATATTCTCTTTATTGTTTTCATCTGTCCTTTGATTCATATCATCATGTGTAATTGTCGTTGTTGAGATTGTTGGTGCACTGGATAAGGATAAAGTGTTGTTTAAGTGTGGATATTGCTGTTGTTTTTGAGGACGACGATGATAATCCTGAAGACGGTTATCTTGATTTTCTTGGAATTGATTTATCTCTTGAATCTTTTTATTATGAGAATTATGTTCATCATTATCCCACTTGTTTACTTTATCTGTGTGTTCTTTCAAGTCACTTGTTGGAAATAATGCTGATTTTTGTGCCAGTGAGGTGGTACAAGAAGATGACTCAATTAAATCATGACGCAATTTTCTTAAACGTGTTTGTAATTCTGTAAATAAACAATCACATATGAATAGAAAGATTAGTATGAAAATATAGTTTAAAATAAAAAGGTTATTTTATATAATTATTGCATACTGGAATATCAATAAAGATTTAGTCTGATTTTATTTAATACATAGGAACAATAAATCTTACATATTATCAACCTTTAGACATGGGACTTCTCAGTAGTAACCATAAAAAACTACACTGAAGGCCTGAACCTGAAACTTTTAGGTCCCAGACCAATCACTTATCCTTTAAAATAATAAGTTGGATTCCAATGGTCTACATTTCTAACTTTAATCAAATCGACACCTATGTAGGTTTGTAAATGCTTACATTTAAAGAGTCCCATACAGAAAGAAGTAAAAATAAATCTATACCATGAATTAAAATTTGATACTTTAAAATAAATGGATTCTCTTTATAATAGTTAAACTTATACGTGTAACAACATAACAAATAGATAAAGTTTCACCGAATGAAAATCATTGTTGATATATGTATATATTTTCCACCAAACTTTATATATTTTAAACAAAACAATAGACAATAAAATTATCACGACAATAATTAAATTTGTCCTTGAACATATCAGAGAATAAATAGCATTTACCTACTTACCAGGTTCATCTTTAGCAATGTTAGCAATTCCTTTAAATACACTGTGACATAGATTAAGTATATCAGCTTTTTCTACTTTATGGCATTCATGTGGCTGTAATACAAAAAAAGAAGAAAATAAAAGATGTGTTTAATTGAGATAGGGAGAATGACAAAAGTTTCAAAAGATGAATATCTTCCTAACTTCTGTGATGAGAAAAGTTACCATAGTAACTAAATATGTTATCGTAAGTGTATAGACTTATCGATAATATTTTAGTAATAAATGTTTGTTGAAAGATAGCACGTGATGATACCGCTTATATTCTCATGAAGTGAACAATTGTCATTTGCTGACAAACGAAACTAAATTGATTCGCATTACCAAAGAGGGTTTGTAGAAATTCCTGAATTTTATAATTTACATCACAGTCTGACTTTAAATCAAGAAACATTGGAAACCAAGAAGCACCGGGTAGCAAGTTTATCTTAGCATGGGACAATACGGAAATTGGTCTCAGGTAAGGTCTTGGATACCAACTACTGAGGAATACTATCACAGAAGTAAATATCTGAGTAATCTACTTACTTTTCACTGGTTGTCTAACCAAGATCTGTTTATGTTTTACGTTAGAAAAAATAATTCCAATGAATAAATCGATACTATTTAAGTGTATAGACGAAGGTGAGTGAAAGAAAAATCTTACAACAAATCTATGTTTAATTCTTCGAATGTGTATTTTGGCTAAAACTCCTGTATAAATTGTATAAAGATACATTGTAATAAATCCTTAATCAGTTTATAATAATTGAAATTATATCTACAATGAGATCAGAATGAACAGCTATTAGAACACCAGTAATGAATAAAGGCGATAAGGGATTGATAATAACTATTGATAAATCAACAAATAAGGAATAATGCATGATAGCAAATTTCGAAAAAAAGTCAGAATGTATCAGTCAGGATATGCATGTACTTTATGCAATACAAATAATAATCTGGATCACTGAACCAATTAAATGTTCATATAACCCGTATAGTATACAATTATCACCAGATCATAATCATTGAAAAAATGTTTACTAATTTTTTAACTAACTAATCACAGTAATACACTATTTGTATGTCATAGTAAGACAGTTAACAATTGTTTTTAATATCAGTTTTTGTAGATATTATAACAATTTTAATAGTTGAGATCATCAGTCAATTGAAGCTAGACTATCATGGAGGAGTCCCACAATAGGACGAAACGAGCGTTCAATGCTTCCAGATTTTCCATGGTGGTCTAGCCTCAATTGACTCATGATCTCAACTGTTAAAATTGTTGTTAATTTAATATAAGTTTAATAACATTGAGTTTATTCTAATTACAATATGGTACATAATTATAATATTAATAAATGTTTCAATTTTTAGGTTAAAACTGTCAGAAAATAAAATCACTATTCTGAAATAAAAATTACCAATTATAATTGAATACTTACATCAATTCCAATTAGATTCATTGCTAAATTATGTAATGCATTCATTTTATCTGAGATACATGCACGTCGTTTACGTTCCATATTTTGTTTCTTCAACTGTTAGTACAAAAGATGAAAAGCAAGTTATAATTTATTTATTTAACTGAATTATTTGTTGATTGAATGTTATAAAACATTCTAACAATTAGAAGGGTTTTTTTTGGAGATTTCAGTATTTTCATAGTTGAAAGCATGAGTCAATTGAAGCTAGACCACCATCGAAAACCTGGAAACACTGCTGTAAGGCCGTTTCGTCCTATTGTGGAACTCCTCAGCAGTGCGCATCCACGATACCACCTCACTGAATTCGCACTGTTGGGGAGTCCCATAATAGGACGAAACGGCCTTACAGCAGTGTTTCCAGGTTTTCCGTGGTGGTCTAGCTTCAATTGACTCATGCTTCAACTATTCTAACAATTCTCGTTAATTGATCAGAATTATTAATTAATTACCAAAATGTACTATCGCTATAATAATAACTAAACGCTTTATACAACATTTTCAGACATGTTATAACTCCAGAGTTCCATGAAAGTGTAACACTGAAATTTATTAGTTAGTGCTAGTACTGAGTTAAGTTTCTCTTTATCATTAAATCAACTATTTCGTTTATTAACTAAACATTGTTTGGAAATGTCACATATCAATTCAACCTCTGTACTCTAATTTAAGTCATGTGTATGTATCATAGTCAATTGATACATAAAACCTATATTATCTGAGAAATCGTCTCCATTGATTAAATATGTAACTAACATTATTTATAAAACAGAAATCAAGGTAAAACTTAATTTTTATTTGCCTGAACATTATATTGCATATGATAATGAATAAAATGTTTTGTCCATATATCTTGTACAGTAATCAATGTTTGTATTATATAATATAACTGATATTATAGTTGAAAGCGTTAGTCAATTGAAGCTAGACCACCATAATAGGACGAAACGGCCGTCCAGTGTTTCCAGGTTTTCCATGGTGGTCTAGCTTCAATTGACTCATGCTTTCAACTATAATAAATACTAAATCTCCACAAAACCCCTTCTATAATTAATATAACTGATAACCGTGTGATGATTTATTTATTTCAACTCTTCTTCCCATTTAATCAAAATATTTTAACTTAAACTCTACGAAAATACAGAATTTTTTTAATTTTACTACTGTTTACTATCAGTTTACACCTGTCAGATTAGATTTAAATTTTGTTCGCGTAATCAATATGTCAAAATACAGAAGAATGGAATGCTTTCAGACAGGTCGATTGAACAAAATCGAAAAATAAATGTCCTAAAATCATCTAGTCGAGAATATTTAACTATAGTTATACAGTTATAGGAACAAATTCTTTATAATATCAAGAACAGTAATACTACATAAACTCACCCGACGAGTCTGTTCTCTAATTTCAGGTGGAACATTCGATCGTCTTCCTCTTTTAGAGGAGGTATTGCTTTGCAAAACCAAATTAGATCCTGTTGTTTGTGTTTGTAATGTGTCGTAAGTAGATGTATTATAAATAGGTGGTACACGTGCGTAGTTTCCTTGTATTTCAGTTTGAGGAATCATGGCTATCATCATAATGTGAAGTCAACCCATTCATCTTCATTTATAGTCTTTTTGTTTGCGCATGCTAACCAGTAAGCCAATCATATTTATAATCTATGTCATGAGGTAGCAGTTAATTGTTGAATTATCTCATGGAATAGAAACCACCAATGAAAAAATTACCGCGTGCTCTCCTACGCACGTGATCTCCGAGCTTAAACCTGATTGGTTTGCTGTTGGCCAATTATTTGCCAGTACAGTAGGGGTGATACACGGATAAATTCTTGTCATGCGTAAGTAAAAATTTGAAATAACAGGTTACCAGGTCTATCAGTAAAACGAGACATTATTTTTGATATACAGGCTGCAAATAAATGTTGAGTGTCAAAGTACAAAATAAAACCTTATTTAGACTAGAAAAAATAATACAAGGAGTCGTACAATCATCTTAAAATATAAAAAATGTGAATAGTTCTAGAGCTAGATTATATAAAGGTAAACATAGACTTTGTGAATAAAATCAACATATGTCATAAGTATCTAACTATAGAAAAACAAACTTATTGTTTTCGATAGAAAATCTCAAATTAATCAGATTATGAGGCAATCTTCTGATCTGAATTACTCGACAAGCAGTAAACAATTAGCATTCGGTTCTGTTAGTCATTGACTGTTAGAATAAATTACCAAGTGTGTTGCAACTACATCCACTGTTTGCTTTACTCCAAGTACTGAAAACTATGAATTCATGTCAAAACCGAACGACAAGTAACTTTTTAGAGATAATTTTGAATATGATCAGACCAACTTAGATTTTGACAAATTTATAAATGCCTGCAAAATTTATTTTGCTTTAATGATAAATATTTATTTACTTGATACTCAATAAATTTAGGTTTCTATATTTCTCAAATTTGGAAAATGAGTTAATTAAATTTCTGTTTGATGATAACAGGGTATGTAAATGGGATACTAAGGTGAAATAATATTAGTAATCATAATAATGATAATAATAATAATGACAATAATGATGATAAATCACTAGTCACTAATGTAGGTTAAGCTTAGTATGCTGAGTTTTCAAATAAAAAAAATACCAATCATATATGATTTTATTTTTATGACAAATGCTGTTCAGTAATTGTAAGCAAATCCATGTAAACACTCAAGTTAAAAATAGTACTAACCGGGAGACATAAACACTGTGAGTTCAATCTTGCATCCAATCATGTGGACAATTGTGAATAGCTTAAATTTAGGATAACACAAATGTCCGTTATTTCCCAGTTTGTTATAGTTACGTAACTTGTACCGATCAGTAAAAAGAAATTATCTCTAAATAAAAACAATTTTCATACTGTATCAAACACAATTTTATAAGATGAAAATTACACCAAATTCAAGTTTATTCACTTGACAAAATAATCTCGACTGGTAGTCTTTTCTATTTGCAAGCAGATATTGATTAAAAATAGGTCTCTTCAAAAACTGTCATCAAATATAGAATCCTAACAGATTATGCTGTGAAATCTGTTTTTAAATAAAAATACTAGATTCACTTAGTATTGTTCGTTTGAATCTCCCCATTGATGTTTAGGACTGCAACTGGTCAGTCTCTGATTGGCATATGTGCATATTGTGCGTATTGCCTCTATATAGCCCTAATTCAAAAGCATTATAAGCAAAGATGGATAAGGCCTAGCAGTGGAATCCAGGACGCGCGTTTCGTCCTATATGGAACTCGTCAGCTGGGTGTACCTGCATCCCAGAGTCGATGTTCACTCTGAGACTCTAAACCCAGTACCTTACGCTTCAAACGCCATCACGTCCTAATAGCCACTTGTTTGTGCAATGGGATGAAGTTTAAATTCACTTAGTATTATTTGTTTGAATCTTCCCATTGATGTTTAGGACTGCAACCGGTCCCAGAGTGAAAATCAACTCTGAGATGCAGGTACATCCAACTGACGAGTTCCAAATAGGACGAAATGCACTTCCTGGATTCCACTGCTAGCCACTATCCATCTTTGCTTAAAATACTAGATGTTTAGAATTGATACTATCATTTAAATAGCAAAACATTTATAACTGAAACTATAAGTTTAATAAGAAAATAATAGTCTAGAATTTACTGTCATTGAAAAACAAACTACAGAATATAATCTTGATAAATGGTCTGTACACAATGAAATTAATAAATATGAAAGTAGGGTGGGGGGTGGTTGGACACATGAACAATCCTTACAAATACCTACTCATCATGAAACAACAAAGGTATCATCACACAACGACAAACTATTGAATAAAATCATGTGATTTTTTTCTTTATTAAATTGACATCTATTTTACTAAAATGAAAAAAAAGCACTTCCCTCATTGAAACTGAATAGTAATTAATATTTTTCTTTTATATGCAGGTGTAAAATTTTAGGGTTTTTTTGTAAAAAAAATTGTTAATAGACAAATATGGATACAAATAAAAATTTAAACAAAGTTAATTTTGAAGTTTGAATGATTAAATTTTATTCTGGTCAGTGGCTTTAATGTCCATCTTCACTTTATTAATTGACTTAAGTAAAATCCATAAACTTTGATTCTTTGTCATATAAATATATCAACTTAAAATGTAAAATGCTGAATATTTATGAATGCATAGATTGATTTCTCCATTGTAGACAAGAATGAAATTATATATACATGTATTGGAACCAAGTTAATAATGTTAAGGTTCTGCTTAAGATGTCAGTCCAAAATATCAAAACTTAATAATCCGCTTATAAACCTCCGTTGACTAAAATGATTAAGATATGAGTTATAAATGTAAGTTATATGGAAAGCAGAAGTAGGCAAATAATATAATTGTATGAATTTATGAATAACCAAGACAATACGCTTAAAGTTCCTAGTTAACTCCGGTTTATTGATGGTTATCTATCATTGGTATTATTGGATAACGTAAAGAGAGAAATCGATCGAGTTAGCACGGTCGTGTACATTCTCTGTTTTTCTTTGATTCTTTATTTTTAATCTTGTTTCATTCTTTATATTCTACAGTTTTATTCGTTCCTTCCAATTTATATTTCTCATTTCAACTTTTTACAATGATCAAGAACATTCGCCATTTATTAATCCTCATTTTGTTACTTCGCTCTTTGAATTTGTTGGTGTGAATTGTCTCAACTTCGACCAACGTGTCTATCATTCCTATTTCAGTTATACTGTAACAATTTATTGGGTAGTTAAAGATGTCGGCAAGAAACCTTAAAACTAGATTTATTGCTGGTTAACACTCTCACAAATAAGGTGTACCTATAATCTTGAGTCAGCTGTTGTTAACTGATGGATACGAACTCTCCCCACTCCGTTTCACACCGAAACATTAAGGGTGAGTTATTCGGGCAGCGACTGACCTCCTGTAGAACTGATATATTTGAAATTCATTAATCTTTGACCGATGTCATGAATGTATACTCCTAAATTATTGATCGAATTCTATTGATTAAGTTATCGTATGACTAGTCCGACAGATTGAAAATAAGTATTTAAGCATAGATCAATATGAAACATAGACCCAGAGTTTCCTTTCGGCTACCTTCAACCACCTAACATCTATTGTGTATCGAATCATTCAAACCAGTAGAAACATTTCTAAATGATCGATAGAATTCAGTGAGTAAAAAAGGACTAGACAAACATGACATTTATCTATACTTCATAATTACTTGATTGTAAATTGTAACAATAATTAAGTATTCATTGAGTAAAAATACAATGGATGAAATAATCGGTTAATTTTCAATCTAAACTCAGGTTGATTTATTTCTTCAAGATTTATCATTTGTTTCCAAATTATGTTACATTTTGTTTTATAAAGGTTTATAGTTACTCGAATACCACTAACTAAAATGCACAATATGAATAGAATACTAAAAATCGGTAATCTCTGATCTATAAATAAAGTTAACAAGAAATAAAAAAACACTTAATCGTCCATATTACTATCACATTATTATTATTATTATAAGTGGTCTCCCATTATGTCAAATAAAAAGATTTCAGTGAATTACTCTTGTTTTAATTTGTAACAAATGAAAAAATACAAGCATTTCATACTTTATACTTTGGTCAGTTCTAAATAGATTGTAGAAAAAATTGGCATAATAATGCTGATAATGTAGATAATCATGACAATTATAGTTATATTGAATGATTTAAACTGTTGTAAATGATTTGTTTAACTTGATCAATGATAGCCGAATCAATTGGACCATGGGTATTTTTTAGAAAGAAAAATACCCTTAATATTTTAAACATTTCTCCCTGACACATTGTTACACATACTAAATGATATACATGAGTGATTTTTTGTGAGATTTCGTATTGTTCAAAATGAATCCCTATTACAACATGACGTACACTAAAGAACCATTGAAAATTGTGGTGTTCTGCTCTTCTGAGTTGAGGCATTTCAATGATGTACATTTACATGAACAAACTCAAGACATTAATCATAAAGTGATCGTTACTATTTATATACATAGAGCTAATATTTATTGATTTATCATTTTCTACAATCCACTACCCCTATAGATGAAAAACACTTTGGAATCTTCATAAAATTTTCACAAATTCACTGAGGTATCAGTTGTATACTTGCTGATGGATGTAATTATGATACTAATTTAAAGAAATTCCAGTCAGAGTCACTGTTTAATATAGTCAAATAATGTGAAGATGTAAGAACTAAAAAAAAACAATATCAGACGGGAATATCTCAGTAACATTAACCAACTAAAGCTGGATGAATGAATCATTCAATTCCCAAACAATAACTAAGTGACAAGTTTAGAAGAGTTCTACTTACGCAATTATCTAGAGAATATCACAAGGGGGTTTTTTGTGGAGATTTAGTAATTTTATAGTTAAGATCATGAGTCAATTGAAGCTAGACCACCATCGAAAACCTGGAAACACTGGACTACCATTTCGTCCTATTATGGGACTCCTCACCAGTGCGCATCCACGAACCCGCTCTCGGGAGATTCGAACCCAGGACATACCAGTCTCGAGCCAGAGCCCTTAACCGATAGACCACTGAGCT